TCTTGACAATATCAAAGCCTAAGAAGAGATGACAAGCAACGCACAGAGGATGAGGATACAATGAAATATATATTATTTTGGCAGAGTGCTAAAACTTTAGAAACCTGACTGGTGTTTGTATTCTTGACTGGATAACTTGCCTGAGAAGCAGTTTTAGCTTCAAAATAATTGTACTCTTGCTGTTTGTTTTTTGCTTTTGAGTTTGTTTGTTTTTTCTTCTTCTTTTGAAGAAACTGGTAGCGAATAACAGAGAGAGGATTTTAATTCAGAAGACCTTGGTGACTTAGTATACATTATCACTGCTTATGCATGAGATACAGCTTGTTCTTTTTTCTTCCTCTGCTTGTTTATCTCCCTCATCTCCTCCTCCACTACCGCCATTCTGAGCTGAATCATGAGAACTCTCCTCTATTAGAAAATGGCATGGTACCTTTTCAAGTGATTCATTCAAGCAGGAGTGGGCAAACACTCTTTGATCTTTTGGATACTGATGCTTGTTTGCACTGATGTGGGCAAAAGCCTAAGTCTTTTTTCACTAGGGGCCATAAAATATTACTCTACTGTTACATGAGCTAATAGGCCCCTGTTCATCCCTGGTGTATAACTCCAGGGAAGCCAGTGGAATTTTACAAGAACCTGACATGTCTCCATTATCTTTTGATCATGTGCCTGAGGAGTACTCAAGAGTTTATTATTTTGCACACACAAATTTGATTTTAACTTAAGTGAGGCAGCAACTTTCTGCCTTCTGCTCTTTTGGAATCTGAGCTTTGTAAACTTCCAGGTGTAACTTGGGGACTTATTTGATGTGATTTTCGAAGTGCTTAGGGTTGACCTAACTCTTTTCCTACTGATGTTAGTGGTAAAACTTCAGTGAGACAGAGTAAAGTCAATGCAGATTTCTCATCAAAATCCTACCCATTAAGGTCAAGGGGGCTGCGACAGCAGAACTGGAACAGGGAGAGAAAACTACAGATCTCTGGGGATAATGTTAAGTCAGCAATACTCATCCCTATGGTACTGAAGAAACAGAGATGGAGGCTATCACATGGGGTACTAAAAACATATGGCGTTCCAATAACCAGGATTAGCCATGTTCATCCTTCTATAGGACAACAAGAGACCTGACTTATGGTGTGCAATCATATCAGTATGGTGTGCCATCATATCAGTAACTGTCCCTTTAAATTCAATACATTTCAGAATTCCAGGGCCAGGGCTTTTACAATCTGTACTACTGTTGTAGTACAATATAGTGGACCTTGCAGCCCTTCTATGGCATTTATTTTAATGTAACCAATTAAATAAAGATTGAGTCACCTAGATTAACACAGCCATGTGCCATGCCAGTGTATGTAACAATAGATTATCACTGAAACTATTCGTAGTACTGCACTGACCTTTCCCAGTTCAGTCACAACTGTGGACTTCATTTGAGTGATCAAGTACAGCTGGTACCAGTGCCTGTTCCTCCTCTTCAGGAATTGTCCAGACTAGAGGTGCACTCATATTTTGGTTGCATATTGGATTGGCTTTTTTTTTGGTTGGTATAGCTGATAATGTCACCGATAAATACAGTATGCCTTCTGATCGGGATGCGACGTGCATGCACATAGCTGCATGCAGGAAT